CAATCATACAATTATTTCTCACCAACCCTAAATTTCCCCCAAATTGGGCAATACCTCAATTTCTTCATCTCACCTTGAATTCACTCAGATTTTAACTATGGCTTTATTGTTAGAAGAGATCATTCGATCAGTAGAGGTTTTGCTAAAGCTCAAAAACGCAAATCAGAAACCTTACGTTGACCCGAGTCTCGACCCGGTTCTTCTCGTCCCCGGAATCGCTGGTTCGATTCTTCACGCCGTTGATCATGAGAACGGAAAAGAAGAACGTGTTTGGGTTAGAATCTTTGGTGCTGATCATGAGTTTAAGACAAAGATGTGGTCTCGATTCGATCCTTCAACTGGTAAAAATGGTTACTTTATTTGCATTTGGTGTTTTTTGGTTGTGATTGAACAAATAATTTATTTTGTGGCTTTTGGTTTAAGGTAAAACGATCTCTCTGGACCCAAAAACGAGTATTGTGGTTCCTCAAGACAGAGATGGGCTTCTTGCAATTGATGTCTTAGACCCAGATTTGGTAATGTTAAATCTCTCTAGCTCTTTTGGTTTCATGAGCTATAGATGAATGAATTGTTGTTTATAGAGGTTTTGATTTTCTCATTTGAGATCAATCACATACTTTTTGTAGATTGTTGGACGTGAATCTGTGTACTATTTCCATGAGATGATTGTTGAGATGATTGGATGGGGATTCGAAGAAGGGAAAACGCTTTTCGGTTTCGGTTATGATTTCCGACAAAGCAATAGGTAAAAAACGCATTTATCTTCTGAGTGTAAACCTTTGATCGGTGTGTGTTGACTGTTTTATGTTTGCAATGGTTTCATTAGACTGCAGGAAACGTTGGACTTGTTTGCTAAAAAGTTGGAATCAGTTTACAAAGCTTCAGGAGAGAAGAAGATTAATGTTATAAGTCATTCTATGGGAGGACTGTTGGTGAAATGTTTCATGAGTCTGCACAGTGATGTATATAAAATCATCTTTTCTTTATTCATATGTTTTTCTGATATTATCTTTTATCTCAATCTGACTTTTTTTGGTGGGATTTATACTATCATCAGATATTTGAGAAGTATGTAAAGAATTGGATTGCTATTGCTGCTCCGTTTCAAGGTAAGTTCTCGGACTTGTAGTACTTCTGAGCGTACTTGTGACGAGTACCAGACTGATTGGTTTCACATTATTGATTCAGGTGCTCCTGGATATATCACATCGACTTTGCTTAATGGAATGTCATTTGTCAATGGTTGGGAACAGAACTTTTTCGTCTCTAAGTGGAGCATGCATCAGTTGGTAATGATCAGTTATTCCATTTGGTTATCAAATGTTGTTTATTTGATCTCTTCTAGAGATTTGCTGATACAATATTCCCCTCGTTTCTTTTGTTGTTTCAGCTTATTGAGTGTCCGTCAATATACGAGCTGATGTGTTGCCCGTATTTCAAATGGGAACACCCTCCTGTTTTAGAGCTGTGGAGAGAGAAACAGAGCAATGATGGCGTTGGAAAATCGGATGTTTTTCTTGAGTCTTACCGTAGTCTCGAAAGCCTTGAAGTTTTCACAAAATCGCTTTGTAACAATACAGTAAGTTACATGCTACCACCATCTTTCATCATATGACTATGTTACAGACGTTGCATTGACTGATCCTATGCTGCACATATATGTTCAGGCTAATTATTGTGGAGAATCCATCGAGCTTCCTTTTAACTGGAAGATCATGGAGTGGGCTCATAAAACCATGAGAATATTATCATCTGCCAAGCTTCCTCCGAAAGTGAAATTCTATAACATATATGGAACCAATTTAGAAACCCCTCATAGTGTTTGGTAATGTTTCTTGATTTGAGGTCTTAGTTTTTGAGTGTTTATTCTTGCCACTTGTTCTGCCTTTTCTAAATTCGATATGTTTACTCCTTTGCAGCTATGGGAATGAGAAGATGCCCGTCAAAGATCTAACGAATCTAAGAAACTTCCAGGTAACACATTTTTCATCCTTTTTCAGGTATCAACTAGCATTGAATAGGCAAGAAATTACCTTTCTCATATTCTGATCTTAGATTATCTTTTCTTGTAATCTCAGCCGACGTATATATGCGTTGATGGTGATGGCACAGTTCCAATGGAGTCTGCCATGGTATGTTTCTCAGAAACTCATCCCAAGTGTAGAAACTTTGAAATTGATTGGTTAGGTTGATCATTTCACTTTGCAACGGTTCCTTTGGTTGTTTTTTATAGGCGGATGGGCTTGAAGCAGTAGCAAGAGTTGGAGTTCCTGGGGAACACCGAGGAATTCTGAACGATCACCGTGTCTTCCGAATGCTCAAGAAATGGCTAAACGTAGGCGAACCCGACCCATTCTACAACCCAATAAACGATTACGTCATCCTTCCTACTGAATACGAAATGGAGCAATACCGAGAGAACGGACTCGAGGTTGCTTCGGTGAAAGAATCCTGGGACATCATAACAGATGACAACAATAATGGCACAGCCGAGTCAACCGTTAGCTCCATATCAGTCTCTCAACCCGGAGATGATCAAAAACCCCAAGCCGAAGCTCGTGCAACCTTAACCGTCCATTCACAAAACGACGGTAGACAACATGTGGAGCTCAATGCTGTAAGTGTCTCTGTTGATGCATAAAAACTCGTCTTACCTTTGTAAATGTAATGTCTCGTCAAGTGTGTCTATGTCTGTATATAGCAAATAACATTCATGCCTCATGTACAAAAATCATAATAACAAGAAATTTCGTGTTCCATTTATTTGTTTCAAGACTACAAGAGCAACCTTTCACAATCAAACATTACGATAATGTCTGTCTGGTCTTGTAAAACGTGTTCATGTGTCTTTGTGTTATAAATATAAAAGAATTTGTCTTATCATTAATCGGTGGTTGCACAAACTTTCCGACCTGAATATCTAGTTATACATATTGCTCTTTCAAGCTTACTGTTTCTGCGGCTAATATTGTCCTTCAAAATAAATCTTCCGTTCTTGTTAGTTTCTTACTTAACATTAGTTTATATATATGTATATAGGCTGAATTTGCCGAACACATACTATTGTTCTTTTGATGTTTCGAGTTGGGGCTTGCTTCTCCAGTGATTTGAGAGATGCCTCACCTGTTAAAAATCTCACATTGAATAGTAAGAACGAATTTAAGCAAGCCCCCTCACACGATACGACCCAAGAGAAAGAAAAAAATGCAACGCAGCAAACGGCCAACACAAGCGAGGAGCTACGGTTTTGTAAATTTGTATGTTCAAGCAAATTTGATCAAAGTCACACATTTACTGTAAAAACGTTTTTTGGTTTGAATAAATTTTACATCAAATTCAAATAAAACAACCTTTTTGCAATGACGTGTCTAACAACAAAGGCTTTCATCCTACTATTTCGTTTCACTTCAGCTGCAGGGGCTTGGGGATATGAGTATATCCCAATAGCTTCTTCCATGGTTATATGGTTCAGCACTTTCTTAACTTCCTCCACGATTGCATTTACGAAAAGGTTCTCATACCTGAAAAAAAACAAAAAAATGTAAAGTAGGGTTGCTTTTTTTATGCTATTAGATTCATCATATTGATGAATATCTGCTCCAAAATATAAAATTTGATTAACCAAAAAGATAATCATCAGGTGGGGTTCTGTAAGAGCATATCTAACTCAAGCCATTAGTTAATATGATATTGTATGCTTTGGGGTTAGTGGCCAAGTCCGTACTAATTTCTTTTTGGATTTTTTCCCAAAAAACTTCATGTTAAACTTGACACATACTAATAGAGTTGAACTTGACTTATATATTAGAACATTACTATCTAATCTTCCGAGACTTGGAATTGATATCTCAACCAACACGTCATTTGGTGGGTCATAAATTGATAAAGAATGAGCAGGTTTATAAATTAAATGTCATAAACTATTTTCTATTATCATTCTAACAATTGGTTCTTGAGATGAAACTGTATATGAATACTAAAGTCTCACTAACCTGTAATCAAACGAAGACAGCCCAAACTTTTGGGGAATAGACTTCAAAGCTTCCTCCCAGTTGTGGATTCTATCCAACTCATCTCGATATTTCCGCTTGGTTTCCCTAAAATTAAACCCGAATTTTCCCTCGAGTATCTTCACGTCTTCCACAGTCACTTTGTAGAAGATGGGAATGACATGAAGTTTGCCGTCAATCATCCGTTCGTTGATCTTGACAAGCTCGTTCAAACACCACTTTGACCCGGTGTATTCATCGGAGAAGATCACTACTGCAACAATCGATTCCTCAATCCTCTTGAAGAGATATTGAAGATCTCTGCTCCTAAGTTCTGTCTCGTCTACATAGACGTTGACGTTTTTGTTTATAAAGGCTTCCTTGACAAAGCTCAAAAATCCATTGCGCACATCTTTCCCCCGGAAATTGATGAACACTTGATGCTTTGATGAGATCAGTTTGACCTCG